AAAAAAAAATCTACATCGAAATACACAACAAAAAACAGTCCAATAGCTGATAGTAAGGAGGAGGAGGAGGTGGCTAATCAAGTTATATTGCTCTGAGGTTCTTGTAGTTTCAAGAAACTTCTTTGAGTGTCAAGTTTTATTTGATTTATGTAATCTAGGATGCAGGCTGTAATCCATAGAGGAATCGCTCTCCCTCTGTCTCCCTCTCTCTCTCTCTCTCTCACACACACACTATTGCATATATATTTTTTATTACATATATTAGTAATATAAACTAAAAACCTATGAAAAGGATAAATATTTAAAGAAATTTGCTTACTCAAAGAAAAAGAGCAAATGAGAGGAAAAAAATTGACAAAGTGGGACAAATATATAAAGCTGAATCTAATGAGATTGATGACCTACAGGGGTGATTCAGATGAGGAAGTGAAAAAGGAAACGGAATAGTAACTCTTCCTTTCAGTACAGTTCAGAACTGTAGAACCATGTTAATGTTCCATGCCAGAAATAAAAAAAAAAAAAAACAAGGATGGGAGAAATTTTCTAAAATGGAATTGCATGAGTTTGTAAGGTCTACCATCATAAAATACCACAGATTGGTTGGCTTAAATAACAGAAATTTATTTTCTCACAGTTTTGGAGGCTAGAAGTCCATGATCAAGTTGTTGGCAGGTTTGGCTTCTTCTGATGCCTTTTTCCTAGCTTACAAATGGCTGCCTTCTCTCTGTGTCCTTACATGGTCTTTCCTCTGACTGCACCCAGCCCTGGTGTCTCTTTGTGTGTCCAAATTTATAGGAATACTGTTCAAATTAGAGTAGGGCCCATCCTAACAGCCTCATTTTAACTTAATGATCTCTTTAAAGGCATGATCTCCAAATACAGTCACATTTTGAGGTACTGGGAGTTAGGTTCTCAATATATAAATTGGGGGACAGCACAAAATCTAATCCATTACAGGAATACAAAGAAAATGAAATGAACATAACTATTTCAAATGAATAACATCCACACCAAAAGGGTCAAAAAAGAACTTAACCCAAGTAATTTTTGAACCAGTATTTTGACTATATGTCCTCAGTCTTGAGATAATAAGAAATGTAATCAAATATTGAACTGTAGTTGGTAGGTTTGTTTTTCATGTGTATGGGCTCAAAAAACAAACAAACAACAACAAAAAACAACCCTGCTTTCTGTGTGTTCTAGGATTGAGCAAATGAGTGAATATATTTATGATAATGAGACCAGGATTCTCATTTTGGAGAAGGGAATTACAAAGAGGGCAAGGAAAAATACATGAATGAATTCTATGGTGTTGGACTGGTATTGGTATGAATTAATGGTTTTAATATATAGATATAGATATGTGTAGATATGTATGTAGATATATGTATACACATGCATGCACATTTGTATATAGGTTTGTCCACTGGGAGGGCCTATAAGAAATAACATCATACTAGCAATGAGCACAACTAACACCCACATTTGTTTTCTACAATACCATTTTCCCTTAAAGCAACCAAAACTCCTTAGAGAATTGGCTGATTCCAAGACAGAGACAAGGAAAGAATAAGATGATTCTAAAAGTATCTTGTTGTGATTAAAAAAAAAAAAAGAAAACACACTCAAAAACTGATAGGTATATGTCAAAAGGAAACAGCAGCTGGTTTGAATGGACTTTCACAGAAAAAAATTTGGATAATCTCAGCATCAAAAACAATACTGATAGTAACAGATTATAAACTATTGGATAAATATCTATGAGTTCCTCCTGATATAAATAAATGAACAGATGAAGTAGAAGGAAAAGCTCCTCCTTATAGAAAAACAATAATAAATGTAGAAAGAATAATACAGTTATAAAACAAGTTGGCAAACATCATAGTAATAACTGGTTTACAAAGGAATCATAAATGAATGTTATATGTATTGGATGACATTCTGATAAACAAGAGATTTACATAACCTTAAAATATTTTCCCATAAAATAATTATTAATTAGAACACCTTACGACCACTAACACTTCTCTTTTTATCTCTGAGAGATTTACATCAGCCTCAAAATGGAAATCATCATCATCATCCATTTCTACTTTTTGCAGTTCCTCTAAGACATAAATACAGGAATTGTTAAAATGTCTAAAAGAACCTGACAATATTAGGTGTTCACTAAATGCTAACATATTTTATCTTTTCTAAAAAGGAGCAAAGATCAGCAACTCTGAGTGATTAGGGAACATTTCAGAAGGAATAAAGAGTAACTCACCTGTAACTGGGTCATGGTCTCCATTTCTGGATAAAGTGTCGAGAACACAGCTGGTAAAAATGAAAGTAGCCATGAGCGACCATACTAGCCCATACCAGCCAGTCTGGCTTCAGGAGTGAAGTGAACCATTTACTCCACTGAGACCATTAGACCCCTTACCTGATCAATTGTTTTTCTAATTTGCCCACCATTAAAGGGCTTTTGTTCCCTTCCCATCCTAGACTCTGTCACCTCCTGACTCAAGCTTCTGGATTATACTTTCTACATTGCCTCCCTCTTTCCTTCCTCTTTATGGTTGTCACCTCCTCCCAAGACATCTTTTTTCCTGGGCCAAAAGTTGAGGAAGAGTGTAGGCTCAGGAATTCCAAAGTCTTTTCTCTTTTCAAACTCTCTAGGTTCTTACTTTGATTTGTTGCAAGAGGTCTCAGATCAGAAGTGTTTCCTCTCAGAAAGTATTCTTGCTGCTTAGGGTGCTTCTTCTTCCACTCTATAATTTTAGTTTTCTCTTCACGCAGCGCTGTGCATGCAAAAACATTATGTTGTGGGGACTGGTATTTATTTATTCAGGACCAAAATTAACACTATTCACTTGCCGAATGATTAACACTTATTCTACAAAATAAAGGGTCATAATTCTGGTGAATTTCAGACTCCGAAACTAATCGTTTGGCCTCATCCACTGAGGATTGGGCAAAGGGCCTTGGCAGGAAGATCCTAGCAGGCTCCGCTTACTGCTAGACTCAACCTACAGAAGGGCCGGGTACTCCTGCGGACAATACAGGTGGTGCGCCAGAAGAGAGGGAATGAACATGGCTAGAAAAGGCTGTACTAGGGACACACAGATCAGTAGGTCACGCTCTGACTTCTAGGCGCTCATGACTAATCATAAAGCTACAAGACAGTGAAAGTCGTCTTCGGTGGGGAGTAAAGTTCTTATCGTGTTGTGTTGAAATTAGCCATTTGGTCTGTCTTTCCCGTTAGACTAGTGAAATCTGAACGACGCCAACCCTTCGCGTTCTCAGGACCCAGGACAGGTCCCAGGCAAGTCAGAGTGCCAAGAACTAGTAGCTACTGATCGTTCCCGGGAGAGCATGCGCAGCACGCACGCCCCGGGCCCACAGACGCGCGCTTCCGGGCGTAGGCGCACGCAACAGTCTGAGCTTTCCCAGTGTCACCGCTCCACTCCGCCAACCCCTTCTTTCCATTCCCGCGCCCACAGCACCTCCAACCCCTACAACCCGGCCGGCTCAGGACACCGTAAGGCCCAAGTCATTTTCAGAGCAGGGCCAGCTGATCTCCCAGGATCTGACACAGCGGCCGGAAGCGGAAATCCTATGCAGACGCTTCCTGGACTACAGTCCCCACAATGCCCCTGGCTTCCTTCCGCGCGTTACCTGCACCTACTCCGCAAGGTGTCTGGGCTCCAGCTCCTGGAGGGCAGCTGTGCAGTGACGGAAAAGGACTGCTCTTTTAATCTCTGAATTATTAATTAATTAAATTCTCTTATTTTATTCTTAGCCAACCTCCAAGGGGGGAGATGTTTTTCTCTCTGTTGTTGTCTTTTAAATATATTGAGTATGTATTTATATTCATACGATTCAAATGTATATTTTCATATTATTTGCTCATTTCTCTATGGAGCTTTTGCTTACTGTATTTAAGTACAGATTGCATATTCAAATCTGCTTCCTTTAACTTTATTTTATGGCTTATTAAAACAGTAAAGACCCAATTTTGTTCTCTTTGTTGTTACTGTTGATTTGAAATAGATATTTTTTAAAATAAATTTTATTGATGAAATTTCCTTTTTTTTTTTTTTAAGTAATCTCTACACCCAGTGTGGGGCATAACCCAGAGTTCAAGAGTCACATGCTCTACTGATTGAGCCAACCAGGTGCCCTGAAATGGCTTTTTGATTTAAATATTATCAAGTATGTTTTAAATATTTGTCCTTATTACTTCTGTGGCTTTATTTTCTGTATATTTTATATAATATATGCTGCTAATATACAGTTATAGAAAAAAATCAGAATATTTAAAAAATTAATTAAAATTCACCATCAGTTGGAATATTCACGTGCCTTTTTAAAAAAGATTTTTATTTGTTTACTTGTCAGAGATAGAGAAAGGCAGACAGAGCACAGAAGAGGGATAAGGAGAAGCAAGCTCCCCGCTGAGCAGGGAGCCTGATATGGGACTCGATCCCAGGAACCTGGGATCATGAGCTGAGCCAAAGGCAGACGCTTAACCAACTGAATCACCCAGGCATCCCTTCATGTGCCTTTTTGTCATCTCATCCCAGTTTTATTTCTGTGATGGAATCCCTACCCTAGATTACTGATCTGAGGATTCTAAATCGTTGCACCATCTGTCTTCAGATTACAGAGAGTACTGTGGGATGCCCTACCAAGAAATTAAGGAACTGAACAGTAATTATTTCAAAACTCTAGCACCTATTGGGTAAAAGTTTCTTTTCAACCCAGTGGTTACTTCTATTTACTACTCTCAACTAAGAATACTCTGTGTGTGTGTGTGTGTGTGTGTGTGTATCATATAGTTAGTTTTCATAAAAGCAACCAGGAGTCAGCAAAATAGTAAGAATTACCAAACCAAGATCTCAGAGAAGTAAACAAAGTATTTGAAGCTACTTTTACCATGAAGATATATGCCCATCCTGAGGCAACAGGGATGGAAGTCAAAACCCAGGGACACCCAGATATAAGATGTCTAATAGGAGAATTACTATAGATTATGTTGAAGTTCCAAAAGGCTAAAACCACATAGGGTGTAGAAGTCTAGATAGGCAGCTATTTTAGCACTCTCAGCTACTGTTTTCTGGTTTCATTTGCCATTGAAAAACCAGCTGACAATCTAACTGCCACTTCTTTAGAGTAGGATATCTTTGAACATTTTGCTCTTTGTTTTTGGTTTTCTGATTTAACATTAAGTGGTCTTCTGTGTTCTTTCATATGATGATCAGTCAGGTGTGACCATAGGAGAAGACACAGGAAAAGCTCAGAAAAACAAAGTATATTATACTGTCAAATCCTAGAAACAGGAGACACAACACATGCAAGACCACAAGGGAAAGCACCAGCATTGGCCAGGAGGCAGAAGGGGTGGGATCAAGGGAAGAGTCTAGGTTGTGGCCTTTATTGAGTTTCTGTGGAAAAGGCTAGGTATGGCAGGGTAAACAGCCTAGGATTGGTTAGTTTGAATAATTTCAATGGGCTTTAAGGTATAGGGTGGTCTCTGGCTGCCTGGTACCTGGCGCTGAGATGATTAAAGCAGAAGATTAATGTCTCCTGGGGTGTATGGGCCACATAAAGGAGGTATAGCTCTGGACTGGTTAGTTTTTATATCAAAGACATGCTCTTGGCTGGGCCCTTTGTTATCTCTAGGAATTGGTTAGCCCTGAGAAGGGCAGTCTCCTGAGCCAGGAAGGATTTTAAAAGATGTTAATGTTAGTCAAAAAACAGTCAAAAAATGGTAGCAAGAAATAACAAATCTAAAATCACTGGAAAAAAACTACAAAAATACTATATTCAACAAAAATAAAGGAATGTGGGCAAAATACATTTTCAGATTAACCAAACAAAAACAAACAAAAAAAATGAACAAGTCCATGTTGTAGCCATTTGCAGAGCAAATGGACTGTCACCTAAAATTTGGTTTAGATACCAAGACTAATGATGACACATACACCCCAGCAGAATATGAAAAGTGTTAAAATTTATATGAGGTTTTCTGAGGAGAGCAGGGGAGGCTTTCAAAGCTGGTCTGAACATGTCTTGAGAGAGCAAAGAAAGAAGACTGGCTTGAGGTTTTTATAATGTTTAGGGGGTAGGGCTGGAGTAAAGGTTCCTGTGCATTGTTTGAATATCCCACCTTTGACAAATCACCTGGGCTTTCTTATCCGCATGCTTAGAAGTGAGACAGGGGAAAGCTGTGACAGACAAATATAAAAAGAAAAATTGGAATCAGTGTCTTTATTAAAGTGCATCACCAGCAGAATTTGACCAAAGGAAATTCTAAAAGATGTGTATTTTAGGCAAAAGGGAAGTAAAAGAGAAATACAGAAGAGATAAAGGATGAGTATGTGGGTAAATGTAAGTGAGCAGTAATTTTAAAGAACAACAATAAAATTATCTGATGTTGTTAAGGAAAAATAATTTTAAAAAAACAAATAAAATCTTTAAAAAATGGGGATGCCTGAGTAGCTCATTTGGTTAAGCGGCTGCCTTGGGCTCAGGTCATGATCTCAGGGTCCTGGGATCAAGCTGTGCATTGTGTCAGGCTCCCTGCTCAGCTCTGAGTCTGCTTCTCCCTCTCCCTCTGCCCCTCCCCCTGCTCGCACTCTCTCTCTCTCAAATAAATAAATAAAATCTTAAAAAGACAAAACAAAACAGACAACAATGGCATGTAAGAAGGAGGGTGTAATAGATTAACTGTTCCAAGTATCTTGTTTATCTATGAAAAAATTAAACATTACTTTGATTAAATTTTGAAAATTTTGGCATTTTTTACATAACCATTAAAGACAACAATTAATAGCATATAATATTCAAATCAGAGGAGGAAAAAATGATGACTAAAAAGAAAGAAAAAATATGGGACGCCTGGGTGGCTCAGTTGGTTAAGCGACTGCCTTCGACAGGGGTCATAATCCCAGGGTCCTGGGATGGAGTCCTAGGGTGGAGGCTCCTTGCTCAGCAGGGAGTCTGCTTCTCCCTCTCCCACTGCCTGCCACTCCCCCTGCTTGTGCTCTCTCTGTCTGACAAATAAAGTTTAAAAATCTTTAAAAAAATAAATTTAAATAAATTTAAAAAAAGAAAAAATAGACAATATGGGTAGATGTAAAAACAAAATATTAGTAATTACATATGAATTGACTAAGTCCTCTATGTTTTAAAAAAAACATTGTCATGTATTTAAAAAAACATAAGCTGTCCATAACACACATCCAAGTATAAAATCTCAGAAAAATTAATTGAGCAAGGATGGTAAAGATATCTAAATGATAGCCAAATGAAAAATGGTATTGAGAAGAGACTTTAATAAATAGACTTTAAAGCAAAAGTTAATTAAAAAATAGACTTTAAGCTAAAAAGCATCATGAGAAGTTTATTTCATTATGATAAAATATTCAACTTACCCAGAATATGTAAGTATGTGTTCAATTAATAATATAGTCTAACTAACAGAAATGTAAGGAAAAAGAGAAAATCCTAAATAATAGTGGGGTGTTGGGACATGTCCACTTCAACTGATAAAATAAAACAAAACAAAATTTAGTAGACCAGGTTGCCTGGTTGGCTCGTTCAGTAGAGCATGTGGCTCTTGATCTCGGAGTTGTAAGTTCATACCCCACATTGGGTGTAGAGATTACTTAAAAATGCAACCTTTAAAAAAAACTTAGTGGAGGGGTGCCTGGGTGGCTCAGTCATTAAGCATCTGCCTTCGGCTCAGGTCATGGTCCCAGGAACAGGAAGCCTGCTTCTCCCTCCCCCACTCCCCCTGCTTGTGTTCCCTCTCTCGCTGTGTCTCTCTCTGCCAAATAAATAAATAAAATCTTAAAAAAAAAAAACTTAGTGGACAAAATATCAGTAAAGCTATTAAGCAAATGAAAATCCTTATTACCAAAATTGATTTAATATAAATATAGGAAACATTGCACCCATGAACTCTAGGACCTACATTTACCAAGCACGTATTTAGAAAATATGACTATGTCCTTGGCCATAAATAACATGTGAATAATTTATAAAAGTCTGAAATCACAGAGAACATGTGAAATAAATCATAAAAACTGAAATAAAGCAACATTTCAATGTTTCCCTGAGTCAAAGAGGAAACCAAGAGGATACTTGAAGATATTTTAAACTGAGCAATGCTGCATGTTAAGACCTGTCATAATCAAAAGAAAATATATCAACGTAACTATGCATATGTTAGAACTATGCATATGTTAGACATGACATTTACCTATCTCATAGTAATGAGATAGGTAAATGTCATGTCTGATATATGGCAAACAGCAACATACTAATAAAGTATACTAATACTAATACTAATACTAAAGTATACTAATACTAAATAAAGATACTAATAATAACATTGCAATAAACGTAACCTTTAAAAAAAACTTAGTGGAGGGGCGCCTGGGTGGCTCAGTCGGTTAAGCATCTGCCTTCGGCTCAGGTTGTGATCTCTGGGTCCTGGGATTGAGCCCTGCATTGGGCCCCCTGCTCAGTGGGGAGTCTACTTGTCCTTCTCCCTCTATCCCCCCACCACACTCATGCT